GTGTGGTGTTGTTTGTAACCTTCTTTCATTGATTGTTCGATCATTAGCTGAGCTAGAATTTGTGATAGTGTAGCAACTTTTTCATACTGACTAAGCGAAAATGCATCGAGACAAGTTTCATTAATTTTCTGTTGTTGATTCACATAATATTGCAATTGATTCATGCAATCTTAATCATAAAAACATTGAAGAGTTGATGGAAGCAGGAATTCAATGATAAAGCATCTGGAATAGAAACTGAATACAATGAATCATATCGCAGTTCTATTCCTATCATAAAAAGCGGTAATGTTGATATATAAAGCTTCAGTGGTACAATTACAGCCCGAGTATATCTTTCTGTAGGTCACTACGTTTGTTACATAAAGTGTTGAGTGGAATTGATAGTTTTTTGTCGTGCAGACAACAATATATTTGCTTGGGTTATTCCACGATTTTTTCATAGGGATAATAATAATAATTCATTAGTTGCTGATATTCTGAATTAGTGAATGAGAGTTTCGATTTGTGATTGAAATAAATTTGAAGTTGTTACCGATGTACTGACATATGTGTTCGAATAGAAAAGAATCAACTTCTCAGAAATGGTTATTTTGACGAGCTCACAGAAAGTTCGTAAAGTTTTGGATGCATAGCCACTAGAAATTCGAAAAGCATAATGATTGAATAGCAGCATGTCAATCCAATTTTTCGTCATGAAAACAGTCGTGCAATCTTGATGTAGTATATAGTGGACATGAAGAAAAATTTCATTGTTGATCGATATCTCACTATACAAGCATGACATGCTGGTTCAGTATCTCAAGTTGAATTGTGAATATCGTTCGAGTGTTGGCCGTTCGAGAGTGATAGTTTTGGTAATGCGGTTACGAGCGAAATGCAGACCATGAAAATGATTAATGCATATCTTAATAATATAATGAACATGGCTATAAGAAGAAAACAACTTCTACTGAAAAAATTCAAATTTTCCAAAGTTGAGAAGGTCATTTCTGTTTTCGTATTTCTAATAGCTTGAAACCTAGTTCATGAAGCTTGGTTTGAGCTCATTCTATGCTTCATTTTTTGTAGCTCCAGGGCAAAGAGGTATGGTGTAAAACGATAGAATCCGGTTACAGCATATGACATAAGGATACGATTTGTCATCGGTCCTTGTCAAACTAATGACGAAATTAACTTCTACTTGATGAGTCTTGTAATAATTAGGTACTGTTTCTATGAGGATAGTCTTGTATTTACCTCTTGTACAAATATACTACGGAAAATACACACAAAGACAATGTTATGATTAATGACAACTGCTTAAGAAATCGTTCAAATCTATAGGACAACCCACTTTTTCCAACGATTTATTGTGTCAAAAACTTCCATCAACAATTTTTTTCAATCTTCAATTGAGGAAAACATTTAATTTTCTCAATAATTTAGTGACAGGGTGTGGATCGGAGTCTTCCTCTTATCAGCAACCCATACCCTCACCGACATACCGTTTGATTATATGTAGAAGGATCAATGTGCATGTATGTAGAGAAGAGAAAAGATAGTCATAAGTCTTATTCGTTGCGGACGAAAGTACGAGTGAGATGAGATGATTTTTTTGTATATTCATACAAGTCTTTTTGTAGATTTCTCAAGTATCGATATATGACTTTATGACCATGATTTCTGTTAAACCAAGAAATCACTACTCATCAATTTGATGTTTCAAATCCATTGATACCTGATTTTTGAGAACGAAGATAAGAATATTCTTTTCTATTGAACAGAATAGTATCTATTTTTAATTAAAACTACAGTGGTGATTGTAGTTGTTTATTGTACATGCAATAGCCTTTAGAATCGCTGAATCTATATTTCATATTTCATATTTCGTAGATAGTCGTGTTGACATTGGGAAGTGGCTATCATCTTTTCTTTGCATATCCATAGATGTCTTCTATGATTTTGTGAATGACGTATGTTGCCTTGACAACGATGACTTACAAATTATAGACTATCGTTCATTTTACGATTCAGCTCTACTGATAGTCGATTCCAACGACAAAGTTAAGAACTTGTTTTTATTTAAACACAAAATACTATTTGTTTCTTCATCCTATAACTAACAGTAGCCATAAACTTTTTTACATTAGTTTTCATAATGGCTGAACGTTTTTTTTTTAAACATAAATGGATACTTGCATCGAAGGAGAGAAGGTAGCGACAAATTGTTTCTATTGATAGATAAGATAATATCTGTTTCTTGATTGGACAACACGCTATTTCAATAGTTTTCTCTTCATATCTTTTAGTAATTAACGAGCATTTTTTAAACCTACCTGGATGCTTTCATTAAAGAAAGCTAACAACATGTTTTTCATATTAATGGAGAAAATAATATATTTCTTAATTAGCTGATCAGCCGTCTCATTAATCTCTTGTTTATTCATTCGTATTACTGCTGAAGATATTTCTAACTCACCTGTATAACCGTGTAGAACGATGAAGGTAAAAATATTTTCTTTTTCTATCGATAGATGAAAAAGCATCTCTTTTCGATTTATGTATTCAGTTGTCACACATGTCTTATACGTACGCCTTGGCAATTACGTATTGTATATTTCAAAGTGATTTTGCATGCATGTAAAACTACGATCATAAAAATATTTTTATCATATCGATAGACAGCGTTGTATCTATTTCTAGTATATGAATATGACGACCTAAAGGATATAGATTGTATAAGGAGTATTTGGAATTACACACATATATATATATGCGAATAATTCTAAATATTTCATATACTCTCTAGTCTCCTATCCAAAACCCAAAAAGGTAAACATATATATCATCTTTTTTTCTAAATAAAGGGCTAGAATGTATAGGGCTCTTTAGAATTATTTATATATTTATAAAGAATAATTCTAAATACTTTCTATAAAAATAGTTTTCCTATGCAAAAGAGGGGTATGTACATCTATAAGTTATCATTTATATGAGATATACCAAAAGTCCGGTGCACAAAGAAGCGTGCGTGTCTCTTTTACTGTTTTACGCGATTTATGTAAGGTTTTTATAGTTTCATTTCATATTCATTGAGAAAATATCTGTAAAAACATCATATTCAAGTTTATTTTGAAATCTAGTTGATAGTATAACGGATGTTCTTTTTTAACGAAACTGTGTCTTTTGGTCGATGTCTTTTACAAAATTATTTTATACATGTTCTTATAAAAAAAACCTTGAGTCAAATCAGCTTAGTTAACTGTGATGCCGATTGAAACGTACTGCTACTTCTATGGCACTTGCTTGTAGAAATATTCTTCACAACTTTACAAATTTCGTGGCTAAAATACGTAGAAATTCTCTCTTTATGAAGTAGTATAGAGTTCATGTAGCACAATCTTCTTATTTCTTGACTAAAAAAATAGGTTAAAGCATAGTAAAACATTTTTCTCATATTTATAATATTTCCATTTTAAAAATATGTTCAAAGACTTGATTTTTTTAACATTACACAGCAAACGTTTCTTTTGCAATATTGCATAATATTGTCAAGAGCTTCGTGCATTCATGACTAATGCTAAAGATTTCCTTAAGTTGACAATGAAAATCCATAATAAGATTAAAAAAAAAGATTGTAAAATAAATTTTATGTGAAGTTGCTACAGATATTTTCAAAAACGATAAGCATGTGTGTTCTATTTGTGAGTGATTACTTTGTCTATCTATTAGAGAGAAATTTATGTGAAATAAAATTTCAACGAATATGAAGTGAAAGTATAAAAACTTCACGTAAGCAGCCTAAATGATCAAAGAGAGATATTCAAGTTTCTTTTTTTTTGACCGGACTTTCAGAACATGCCGTATATATAGTAGGTATGTGACTGTGGATGTGAGTGTAAGTCTCGATGAAAAACTCCTCATTGGTTCATACTCACACCCAACATTCATAAAATATGTTTGTTTATTTGTTAGATTTGGTATCGGTTTCATTATTGTTTACCTGTAGGAATAGTTACCCAATGGATTGATAGCATTCATTACAAGTATATTTCCTTATTACCTTTACACTGTTAGTGTCATCTCCTATGTATGTTTTAAATGTTTTGTTCCAGCGTCTAACTTTCGTAACTTCAAATTGTAGAAACCTTTGTTTTTTTGCTATTTTTATTTTCGATATTTCTATTTTCGACGGTATTTAGATAATCCGCTTTTATCCTGAAATAAGACTCGGCTCCATAGATGTGTAATATGGAGTCTTTTCCTTACTTTATTTCTTTGTAGATTACTATCAAGTAAAAACAGACAAAAAATAATAAGAATAACAATAATAATAAAAAGTTATCGAAAAAAACAAACAGCAACTTTTGTCTTTGGAAACGTTGCTGATCTGTATAAAGATAGCATCTTGATTTGCTAACAGTAGTCAGTTTCTCTTACATTCACCTTCATCTAATTGATTGATGGCGAGAGAGCGAGCTGGTAGCGTGTCCTGTCATTTGCCTTGTGATAAGCCATCCGTGGCCATTTGCGTTGCTTGTAATAACCATTTTTGCTGGGATCATTTTTGTGAGCATCGTCAAACCTATGAGAAATACCTAGATGATGCTCGGGATCATCAACAATCTTTATCAAAATGTTTACTCGAATATGAACACCTTGAAAACAAACATCGTTCGACTATTGACAGTTGGGAACGCCAAGCAATCGAAGATATTCATCAAACAGCTGAAGATGCCAGAAGAATACTTGAAAATCATATAAAAAATTATCGATTTCATTTCGAGGAAGAATCATCGATGATCACAAATAGCAGATCAACTAATCAACATGCTCAATTAGTTCAATTGGAAAAATTACAAAATGAATATGGTCATTCATTAGAAAACATTCATATCGTTCAACATTCTGATCGAAGACGTATGTTGGAAATTGAAACGACAAGTCCAATAAAAGAAAGCTTCTCATCAGATCCATGGAAGGAAGTATCATTCATTTGTAGTCCCGACATGCCCAAGACAAGATTAGGCAAACGGTTCATCGAGAAACCTTTAGCAGAAACCTCTGTGGGTAATTATTGGGCAATAGGTGCCTCAGATGAATATTTACTTGCACAAGAATATGAAAATAAACAATTGACA